GAATTTCAGTATCCTGACAGAGGTCCTACCACAGACATCTACTCTCAGGGCAACCCGCCTGCCTGGCCGCCTCTTTCTAAAGCCTCAGTCTACCTGCCTGTGCTCTTCAGGGGATGGAGGTTGGAGACTGACTTGCAGACATCTTCATTGTCCTCCTCATTCCACAGATAGTGTGTCGGGCACCTATTCTGAGGACCTAGTTTTGCAACCAAAGGACTCGTCCAAGGACCTAATGCATCATAAGGTGAAACAGAGATATGTATCCTTTTTTGTATGAACGTGAATTAAATGCAGTGTGTCATTGGGAATACGACCTTTTACTGTTTATTTTAAAGTCTGGCTCTGCCTGATATTTGTCTTCCTCTGGAGCCCTTTCTCCATCTTCCTCTCTGGAGATTGTCAACATTGATATTCAGGGATTGTAATCTGGGATGAGACTGAAGGACGTGTACACCTAGGTCGGTGGTCACCATCTCACAGCTGCCGCAAGTAAGAAAGGTACGCCTGGAGGTTCCATCCCCTCATGGTCTGTCAACAGATTCTGGGAAACCAGCGTCTTCTAGCAGCTCATCAAGGGAAGGTTCAGGCGTCCCAGCTGCCCAGGGCTTAAACTTTTTCAGATCAGCATATACCTGTTACTGGAGCATAAAACTTAAAAAGAAAAAACTTCACTGTGATATAATTTCTGTACAGTGAACTACAAATATTTCATATGTACAACTTGGTGGATTTTGACACCCACGAGACCTCCAGCACAATGAAGATAGCCAACATTTCCACCAGTCCCCAAGAGGTGCAAATTTCTCTTCCCACAACAAGACCAAGCCACGTACACACCGGAATCACGTCCTCAGGGCTCTCCCAGACTCCAGAATATCTCTGGTGTCTTCAGATCTCAATTCCAAGAAGGGCCGGCTTTGTAGACACACAGCTCAGAGCCAACTGAGACCTGGGGGACTGGGGTGATTCCAGGGAGCAATGGAAAATGATGAAAAATCTTGGCAAAAGGCTGCTAGACTATGTCTGAAGAGGAACAACAACAACAAAAAAAGCAACCTCAGGAGAAAATGGAAGTGATTAAAAGAGAAGTGTCCACTCCACGTCTGAGCGATGGAGCAGAGTCCGGCGCAACTTGCTGTACCATTTCAAATTAAAAAAAAATTCTCAGCAGTTCCGTCCGTGTCTCTTGGCAGCATTGCACGGAAAACCCGGAAGATCATGTACCGGCCGTTGACTGGCGGTGCTGGAGCTGGTGAAGGTGTGGCCGAGGATGCTGACAACGGAGAGGAGAGAGTGGGCATCAGAGGATTACAGACTTGTGTGTGTGCTGCCTCGGGATGTCCTACGAAAGAACCCCAGACGGGGCGGCTGGAACAACAGACGCTTACTGGCCTGCAGCTCTGGGAGCTGGCAGTCTGACACCAAGGGGCTGCCAGGGTTGGTTTCTGGCGAGAGCTTTCTTCCTGCTTTGCAGACGGCGTCTCCTCCCTGCGTCCTCACGTGGTCATCCCTCTGTGCCTGCAAGAGATAGAGGCAGAGAGGTGGAGATAGAAAGAGATAAAGAGTCAGAGAGACGTGGAGAGAGACAGAGTGCACACTCTGGTGTCTGGTCCGCATATAGGGACACCTGTCCTGCCAGATTAGGGCTGCACTCTTAGGGCCCCATTGACTCTCATGCACCTCCCTAAAGACCCATCATGCATGAGTTCACTCTACGAAATTCACTGACATTAAGGCTTCAACATAGGACTTTGGAGGCACACAGCTCAGTCCATAAAAGCTAGTCAACCAAAGGAAGTGGCTCACTGCTGGTCAGAAAGTTGGAAAGCAATAGGAAAATACAGAGGAAGAGAGATGGGAGCTCCATGTCCAAGTGTCTGGAAGTCAGGCAGCCCAGGAGTGGGTGGAATGGATTGTTCAGGGAACCAGGAGGAAGCGACATCTTACCATCTTCACGTTGGGCATCTGGGGACAGTGGCCAGGTGGTTGGAGACGGCCAAGAGGAAGTTTGAAACTGGAGCTGGGCGTGGAAGTGAGGAAGACTGAGGACAGAGATTTGAGGGGCATTCCTGTTAATCAGCCTTTCCAACGACAGGCGTGGATGTGGAGGAGGACTAACTTTTTCTTCTTTTCTTACCTGTCACCACTTCTGCAGGAACACCTGTTACAGGCCAAGAGCCGTGTATGAGACGCCAGTGCAGTGAACCTGAGCATGACCGGGGCTGGCTGACACCTCCAAGGGCCAGAAGGAAGGCAGGAGGGCAGAAGTCAGAGGACCAGAGGCCAGAGGGCAGGATGGCTTGGACACACCCTGCCCCCTGACTTCTGTGCCCACATCAAACCCCCGGACCCCTGACCAGCCAGATCATCCCCCGACTCACGGTGTCACCCACTCTCACTGCTCAGCGAGGCGCTGAGTTTGCTAGGAGTGGAGGGGAACCCTGCTGTGATCAGAAGATGCCCCAAATACACCAGAGTGTGGAACCTCCGTCCTCCCCGCGCACTTTCTGAATTCTGAGCGTGTGTGACTCAGCCAAGGAAAATCTGCCCTAAACCAGCAGGGTGGACCTTTAACATGTTCTAAGCATGAAGGTCTACTTATTTGAGTCTACTAAATGCACACTGCACATCAGTGTGTGTGTGTTTTGTTTCCTAGTGACCATAGGCTTGGGGCTTAAAACCACAGGCATCCATCCTCCCTGGTCCTGGAGACCAGACGTCTGAGGTCAAGGTGTCCCAGGGCCGTGCTCCCTCTGGAGGCTCCAAGGGAGGGTCCCTCCTGCCTCTTCCAGCTTCTGGGGGCTCCAGGCGTCCGTCCCTGGGCTGGTGGCCGTCTCCCTCCCATCTCTGCCTCCGTCTCCATGTGGCGCCTCCTCTGTGTCTGTGTCTCTCCTCTTCTGTCTCTTCTGAGGACACTGTTCTTGGATGCAGGGCCACCTCCTCCAGGAGGACCTCCTCTTAGGTCCTTAACTTCATCCCATCTGCAGAGACCCTTTGTCCAAACAAGGTCCCGTTCTGAGGTGCTATTTCTGTGAGGTGAACATATGTCTTCTCACCCAGTACAGTAAAGAGAGGCGGAGAGAGGTGAAGACCCAAAACAGTGTCACTACGAGCCTGTTTGTAGCAAGTTTGTTCTCTGCATGGAATCTTTTCTGAAAAATAAGTTCTTGCACGTAAAATCCTTAACCCAGCATAAACGTTGGTGTAAATGGTAGATTGCATCTTTATACACAAAACGTGAGTTAATTTTCACGAATATAATTTTGCAGGGAGAAGAACTTTTCTCTGAACCAAACAGTCAAACACCGTTGAACCTAAAAATCACCTAAATGCTGATTTTACTCTTTTTTTCCCTAACCTGTGGATTTATCATCCATTTGTGCCCTCCGATGTTGGAGACTCATACTCAAGTCAGCAAGCAGGGTGGGGCAGGATGGTAAACTTCCCCACAGCCCTGATCCTACGAGATGCCCTGAAAGTGGAATTTCCGTCCTGTCCCACGGAGTTCCCGCTGGGCATCGCGGGTTCAGTCCGCACGTCGCCGCTGCCAACGTGAGCCGATTCCTTGCAGGGGTGGAGTGTAAAAGCGTCTCCTGCCAGAGAAGCCTGCGTTGGGAATCTCCCGTGAAACAGGAAGGAGTTTTTCTGGGATGGCCACTTAAGCCACTTAATGAAAGCCAGGAGAGCCTTTGCTTCATTTAAAACAGGAAACACAGACCCCTCACCCCGAAGGGGAGTCAGACCAGTTTTCGGGGTCGGGGGTGGGTAGGGGGTGAGCCTTTACTGCAGCTGGGGAAGGCAGACCCAGATTCTGCTTAGCCGAGGTTGTCCGTGAATCGGGTTTGGGAGAAACAAGTCGCTGAACTTGTACCAGGAAACGTGGTGTAACGAGGATTTGACTGCACATCTGGAAGGTGTCTGCAGGTGCCCAGCGCCTTTGGCATGAACGTCCGAGGGCCGGGGGCGAGTCCGTACGTTGTCTTGCAGGCGGGAACTCCCTTCCTACGACGTGCTGAACACATCCAGGAGCTTGCGCGCCCACGTGTCCGATTAAGGATGCCACGTGGATCTGCGACCCTCCTTTTCTTTGCACATTCCTTTGCTAAATAAGCGTAAACACACGTCGAATTCTCCAACCGGGTGTAACGAAGGAAATGGGGCATCACGGACGCAAATGATTTGGAAGTGTCCTCATACTTGACAATTTAAGTCACTTAACCCACTTGCCATGACGGGATCTTTGGATGGAGCCCACGAGCCTCACTTCACAGCCCTTCAGACGATGCTAAGCTGCCTGCTCCTCACAAAACCGACAACGCATTTCTGCAGCTTTTCATCCGACCTATAGTCCTCTGGTATTTTATTTCCACCGCGCTGCCCCGGGTTTACAGCCGGACGACACCCAGGACGTGCGGTCTTTGGTGGAACATGACCTTACAACACCCTTCCAGGCTGATCATGCACGTATGAAGCATCGTATGCTGTTAAGCACGTGTGTTATAGTGCTAGACGTGCAATGAAGAAGTAAGAGCCAACGCAGATCCTCGAAGCAACTTGAAAAGGAAAACCTACCTCATTTCTTGCCTGGGAGCTCAGAGGTCCGTGTTTGGGCAGATAAAAATAAGTTGAACGTTTCAGACATCTGTCGTCACATTTTGGCACTAGGTAAGGAAAAACACACAGAAACCACACACACACACAGCAGAGGGTCATGCACTGCATAGCGGGCCTTGTGAAAGTCCTTCGCTCTTGGCGTTCAAGGAGGTCATCCGAGAAGCAAGGTCTTTTTTTGGAGGGGGAAGAGATGGGGTAAGCCGTCATGGGAAGAACAATCCAACAGGAGGAAAGGGCTGTATTTTGATGACATTGGCGTTTTTACTGTCAGTTTTACAAAACGCGCCCGGAAGCCAGCGTGTTCCTTCAGACAGGAGATCAAGGTAGGAGCGCAAGAATTTGTCTGAAGTCTTTAGACTTTATTTTATTGAAGAACTTTTGTTTTTCATTTAAAACAAAGTTTTTAGGAAGGAGGCAGTTGGGTTTTCTTATTTATTTTTTGGAGGAGGGAACTGGGGATGGAACCCAGGACCTTGTGCATGCTGTGCATGTGCTCTAGCACGTCAGCTGTATCATCTCCCTCAAGACTTTGTCTTTAAATTGCGGCAAGGATGCTGGGCGTGATAAAATTCCCCAATGGGAAAGCCAGTCACGGTTCCCGAAGACGCGCGTCAAGACCCCCTTCCCAAGCTCTTGACTCTGAGGTGGTTCAGTGTGTGCTTCTGACGAGGGTTTGCTTTCATTTCTCTTGACGGTTGATGATGGACAACACATGTCCGTGTGTTGCTCTCTCCAAGAGGCCTGTGCTTTAGGATAAGGGGGTGACTCGGTTGCCCCAAAGCTGCATCGGGAGGACGTGTGGTACTTTCTTAGAGGTCAAAGCCATCCATGCCGACTACTATTATTGTCTTTGAAGTTGGGCGCACATCATCTTTCTTGGGTCTTCAGAACTCTCGTGGGGAGGGAGAATGCGGGCACAGCGTTTGGGTATTCCCCTCCCTTTGGGTCTAGTCGGCAGCCTCCCGGTGTCTCCCCCACCCCAAGGCTGTCTGCACCTGCAGCCAAGGCTGACACGCACAGGACGCATCATCACAACCACGCTGACCACAGAGAACCGCAGGCAAGAGACCCCCGCTGGACCGGCAGAGGGTCCCCACCGGGCACACGGGTGGCTCATTATCGCCAGGGCAGCAGGAAGCGTGGGGACAAGAAGAGTGTGGTCAGAGAGCAGGACACAGAGAGCCAGCGTGGGACCGCCTCTCGGGCTGACCCGTCTGCGCCCAGGTGTGACGGAGTTGGTCTTCACAACACGTCTCCTGTGCATTTAAGACCACAGGAGTTCCCTTAATTGTTGAATCCAGCTCGGCTATTAAAACCTATGTCCTTCAAAGCCTTTTCTCCCCCAAGTGTTTTCTTTTGCAAAGTTTAATATACCTCTTGATAAGAGCCAGGGCTTTGTGACGGGACTGCAGCTGAGAGGGATGCCCTCCCTCTCACGGAAAATCCTTAAAGGGCTTCAGGAAACCACAGCTCAACACAGAGAAACATCTGTTTTCATCTGTTCCTTTCCTCCCATCCTTTCAACTCAAGAGGTTCATTATTACTGTCATGGTTATGATTCTCACCCTTATTTCATCCCCCAGGAATCTACAATAATAGGTTTAAGAACTCACTTCCTAGCAAACGTCTGAGTCCCCTTGACCGGCTCTTTGGCAGCGGTGAGGACAGATCGTCTCTGCCGAACACGGTGCGTTATCTGCCTCAGGTCTTAAAGCCGTGATGTCCACATCCCACAGGACTGACTCACAGGTTGGATTCATTACTTTTCTTTTCAAGAGTAGCTTTGAAAAAACAAATCAGTGTAGGCAAATGGGCTTTCTAGAAAAGTGTGCTTGATTCTTAAGAACTTTGTTTTGGGTACCAGGGAGCACTGGAGATGTTGTGGGGTTTCTGTGTGTGTGTGTGTGTGTGGTTATCTTTGGTCATTTCTAGCATCAGGTAAACTGTTTTCCTTCATGCACCACTTCAGTTCACCCTGGTGCAAATGGTATCTGGTAGGAGGATGGACAGCTTATGTTGGTGGTGGGGACTGAAGTTTGATTACAGTGGTCCCGCTGGGTTCCTGCTCATGTGCAAAGTCTGCAGAAGCTACAGGGTGAGCATCATAAAGGAAGAAAGTGGGAAAATCCACAAGGATGGGGATGTTGCCAAGAGCCCCAGCTGGGCTTGCCTCCCCCTTTAATGAGATGTTTTGCTATCTCATTAAAACTGAGGTGCCCTGCATATTTCCAGAAAGAGCCCTACTTCAGAAAGACACCTGCACCCCAATGTTCACTGCAGCACTATTCACAATAGCCAAGACATGGAAACAGCCTAAATGTCCATTAACAGATGACTGGATAAAGAAGAGGTGGTGTATTTATACAATGGAATACTACTCAGCCACAAAAAAAGACAACATAATGCCATTTGCAGCAACATGGATGCTCCTGGAGAATGTCATTCTGAGTGAAGTAAGCCAGAAAGAGAAAGAAAAATACCATATGATATCATTCATGTGGAATCAAAAAAAAAAAAGAAAAGAAAAGAAAGAAAAGAGCATAAATACAAAACAGAAACAGACTCACAGACATACAATACCAACTTGTGGTTGCCCGGGGGAAGGGGGGTGGGAAGGGACAGACTGGGGGTTCGAAACTGGTAGATACTCACAGGCATATGCAGAGCAGGTAAACAAGATTATACTGTGCAGCACAGGGAAATATATACAACATCTTGCAGTAGCTCACGGTGAAAAAGAATGTGACAATGAATATACGTATGTTCATGTATGACTGAAAAATTGTGCTCTACACTGAAAATTGACACAACATTGCAAAATGACTATAACTCAATTAAAAGCAAAAACAAAAACAAAAACACTGAGGGGCCCTGCCTGTATTCTGTGCATCTCTACCACGACTGAGAAAGCCCTGCTTCGTTCCATCCTGAGGGGATCATCTAGGGGAATCCACGGAAAGTGCTGAGTGTTGCCAGAGCTTTAGCAACAGTTAACACACATGTCTACATTCAAGGGTCCAGAGATGAGGAAGGAAGCTACAAGCAAACAAAACAGATGGAAGCAGCTGGGACCAAGATGGCGACAAACGTGACCTCCAACAGAGCCTGATTTTACTCTGTTAGCTTATTAAGTGACACACCTACCGGCATCCAGGACCAGACATTAAAGACCAAAAAAACATAAAAAGGAGTGGTACCTGAGTCCCTCGGGAAAAGCCCCGGCCCTTCCCCATAGCCTGGGGCACACGCCTTCTTATTATGAGCCTCATTCCTCCTTCCTTTGTCTTCACGCTTTAAGATCAAATCCCTCCCAACACACGGGTGAGAAGTTGATCTGTGAACTGAGTTCCCGCTTCTCCATACTTTGACCACTGAATAAAGCTCATGCTGTGTCCCAGCTTCCATTGCCTGGTTCACTCCCTCGAACCCCAATGGAAAAAGACCCCTCCCCCGGCCGAGGCAGCTCTGAGCCGGGCTCGGTTGTGAGCGGGGGTCCCTATGACTTCCGTCAGTACAAGAGCAGAAAACGTGCAGTGATGGGGGGTCTCCATCCTTGACCCAGTCAACACCAACTGTGCAGTTGATAACATCACGTTTTCCTCTTAACCTGTGTCTCACACGTGTGGTCATGCTCTCCGAAGACTTACAGTACATCCCCATGAGCTTCCATAAAGTCCCCCAGGGGCTACTTGACAACGAGGGGCGGGAATCTAACCAATTAACCTTATGAAAAAAAATGCATCACTTCCTCCACAATCCTTCTGGTTTTCTTCCTAGTAAAGCGCTGTTTTTGTATGTCTCCCAACACACACACACCGTTCCTTCCAAATGGCAGGTGAGACACAGTCTTGGGGTCCTTCTCTTTTCCTTCTTTTTTTTCCCCTTAACGATTAGTATTATTCACATTTTTAAATTGCAGCCCCACGTTGTGAAAATGTTGCATCTCAGCAGTGTTTTTGCCCAGCGTGAGGAAAATGTCCTTTGAAGTTTGTTTATTTAAAAAAAAGACATGGAGAATTTGGACACAACATCTTGCTCCACCAAGAAGCTTTGTCTTTGTTGCTGAAAAGCGTGTTCCTTGCCTGTGTCTCTTTAAGGGAACTCGAAGGCTGCGCTGTCAACGTTTCCAATAAAAAACCTTTGCATCATCCTTCAGGCTGAGTTCTGCCGCGACTGTGGATTTGCAGGCTGGGTGTCTAGTCTCTCCTTAATGCTGATAATCCTCAATTACGTTTCCAGCTCAATGTGCTAAAAAAACAAAACAAACCAAAAACAAACAAACAAAAACCCAGCCACATTATTTAAAGACGTTTGGGTGACTAACTGGATGATCCTCTAAGCTTGAGTCGTGTTCTGAGTATAGATTCTTCTTTCGATGGGGGTTACGTAGCTGTAGCATCTAAGAATAGCCATTAGCATGGACTTTTCCTACCTATCCTGTAAGTTACTTAAGAAAGACGACTCTGCAAACCTCCTGTTTTCTTTCATGCTTTTTTACCCCCCACCATCAGTTAGAACCCATGCGGCTAGAAAATGCATGCGCTGCTACCTAAAAAAATGGCTGTGTTCTGCTTAACGCACAGAGTATTTTAGAAGACACCCCCTGCTCCCTTTAGATGCAAGGAGGAGGGGACGCCCCCACTCCCTTCTCAGCAGCCTCCCCACACCCCTGGGGCATGAGATAAAAACAGAGCTAAGATCATCTCTTTTAACTAGGAAGATCTAGAGTTGGAGTTTCTCCCAACACCTAACATTCAAAAAGGGAAGACGTTCCTAAACTCCCCAATGTCACTTTCTATTTCTCTCCAACGTTTCGACGCGCACGGAGACTTTCCCTGTCTGTACAAAGCCACTTTTGATTGAGAGTGCCAAGGAGTTGTGGAAGGGAATTTGAGTTCCTCCTTTCTCTGTCACTCAGACAGGATAAGATTCCAAAGCAAATTGAGACGGAAAAGCGCATAGATCTAACGTTGGCTGAGGTCAGAAGCCTACGGCAGACGCAACAGCCCCCGTCCATCTGCACTATACAAATCCCAGGGACAGCCTGGGGGGAGTCTACCTTATGACGAGTTCCCATTTGATAGCCATGCCACGTGGCCTCCACCATGACTTGGAGGTCCTAGCAACCTGCCCCTCCCTCCCCAGCTCATCATTTATATCCAGTGACTCTTGGCTGTTCTCGGGATGGTCTCAATGTTTCAAAGCCCCTTACTAAGCCTTTCTAAGGTAGGTACTGGATGTGGAAATTTAAGAAGACCACCGTGATCTCTGTTCTTCATGACGATGCAACATGGCAAGAGGGTTTGTGCGGATTGGAGTATGTTCGTGATAAATTGGCACAGAGGTCATCAAAAGAGAGACTGTGCAGATTGGTCAAATCTAATGACAAGAGTCCTTTGAAAGCAGGGCATTTCTCTCTGCTGATGATAGAAGAGAAGTCAGAGAGATTCCAAGGGTGAGAAGGATTCTGTCCACCCTTGTGGACTTGAAGTTGGCACGGCCACAGGTCAAGGCATGAATGTGGCTTCTAGAAACTGAGAGCACACCCCGGTTGACAGCCCGCAAATGAACAGAGACCTCAGTCCTGCAACAGCAAAGAACTCAAGTCTGCCGCTGCCCAGAATGAGTTGAAAGTGGGTTCTTTTTAAGAATCTGCAGATAAAGACCCAATGATCAACACCCTGATTTTACCTTGTGAGATGTCAAGAGACAAGTTAGCCATCCCCACTCTCTGGGACTTCCAACCCACAGAGAACAATAAATGAGTAAGATCAGTAAGTGGCTATTGTCTTAAGACATTACGTTTGTGGTCATTTGTTTTGCCGTAGTAGAAAATTAATTGGACCACGACTTTCTCAAAATCAGGGCAAATGTCTCTGATTATAAATCTGTGATTAATGCACTTATCTCCTTCATGCAGAAAGTAAAATGTTCATCCACCACTTCCATAAAAGAAAATGGAAGTTGTTTTTACACTCTCTTTATATTTTAATTGAAGTATAGTTGATTTACAATATGATATTCGTTTCAAGTGTGCAACATAGTGATTCAATATTTTTATAAGTCGTTCTTCATTTACAGTTATTACAAGATAATGGATATGTTTCCCTGGGCTGTACAACGTATCCTTGTAGAGTATTTATTTTGTACTTTTGTGCCTCTTAATCTCCTGTCCCTATGTTGCCCCTTTCCCTTCTCCTCTCCCCGCTGGTCACCACTAATGCGTTCTCTACATTGATACATTCTCTTTAAAGGTAATTTTTATTGTCCCCTTCACCAAAAGTTAGGGCATACTTGAAGTGCGGCGTTTAAATAACTCACTGCAATTTTGAGAAAGCATACCATCACTGAGGCACAAATTTCTGCTGTCTTTCATTACCTGTGTGTCTTTATGAAACTCACTTCTGTTAGTACCATTTTATTTATTTATTTTTATTCTGCTGCAACACGTAGCCACGCATCAAGCAACTTTTAAGGTGCACTGCCACTAGGAAATCATTTATAATTTTTGGAACATGGAAGGCTCACCCGGAATTCCGTTTCTTGCATGAACTTGCACTTACTTGGACTTGCTGGTGAGAGTTGTGCTGATCCAGGGGGCGGGACGGAGAATGAGACTGCATTCCTGGGGAAGGTTTCAGGAACACTGAACACTATTTTAGTTTGTAAATATACAGGTCAGCCTTAGGGGAATTTTAAACATTGTGTGATGGAGAAGAGAGGGTCTTGGTGTGGCAGGGGGGAAAAACAAATCTGCAGAGCTTCAAGAAGATGGGAGGAATCACAAGGTTTTCTGTTGTGTGTGTTTAAGAGGCTTAAAAGATTTGGGATAAGAATTCCTCCAGGCGCCTGGAAA